TTATTTATATATATATATATATATATATATATATATATATATACACTTCGTTTAGATACACACGTCTCACATACACACAAATGCGCCACGTGTATCCGTGCGACGCACGAAAATACGATTACGGGTGATGATATCGATTGAATCGGTGCATGATTTAATTATTAAAGAGAGTGCATGAATAATTTGTATCTCGCGAGTAGCCAGGCACCAGTTTCTTTTCGAGAAAGAGAGAGAGAGAGAGAGAGAGAGAGAGAGAGAAGAGAGAGAATGTGTCTGTGTACGCGTGTGTATGTGTGTGAATGAAATGTAACAATAAAGGAATAATCATTTTATCTTTCTTCACGTAAAAAAGTCGAACTAAACGTGTACAATTGTAATAATTTAAGGGAAAAAATGATAGATATATTAAAAGTTCGAAAAAATATTCACCCTTTTATCAAGTAAAAATTCTACTGCCTGGCTCGTCCCACGCGACGCAAATCTCGACCAATCATCTAAAACTCTACACAAGGCTCCGACAAATTTCTTTTTTTTTTTTTTTAATTCACTTAACGAACGATTTCCACAAAATCTAACGCGCAAACTTTTGTTTTCATTATATAATCGCATCAAGGCGAGGCAGGGTCATCGAGAGAGTCCGCCATCTTGATTTACGCGATTCTAAAAGCCGCTAAATTCGTCAAACAATTATATGAGAATTGACTTTTACGAACAAACTTTTCTCCTCAAAAAACAAGATTCGTTCGATTACGAATTGTAATTTGTTTATTTTATAATGTATGCGTTTCTTTCGTCCTTTCAGATACTTTATTACATTCGCTCCTCGAGAAATCGAATTTTTATCAAATCAAAAAATCGAGTCTAATCTGTCTTTTGCGTTTCGATACTTTTCCCCCTTCTTTTCTTCTTTTATGAAATTTTCATCGTGAAATTGCCGATGAGGAAATAGAAAGAGTTCATTTACAATTATGATCGTTCATTGTTACGGTTCCCATTGTTTAAAAGATTCCTCGAAGTCCGATGCAAAGTGGTCAGTTTGGAAAAGAGAAAAAGAATAGCACTGTTCATATAGTGAGGAGGATAACAGTAACACATAAGAGAATTTTCGTTCGCTTTTCAGCTAGCTAATTGTGACTCACTTTCAGCTTTATCTATTCTCCATTAATTTCTCAAATTTACTACAATATATTTTCGATAATTTCAACTTTATCGCGATAAACGAATATCATGTCTCGATACGAGCACAAAGAAAATGTGTAGCATTTGAAATTTTATAATTATGTAAGACAAATTGATAATCAATAGACTCGAAATAAAACTAGATCTTCGTTTGCTATTGTCCGATCGATACGAGAAGAATAAGAAAGCCGAAAGCGACTCATTAACAATCGTTCATTTTTATCGTCATCGTAACATTACATTCGCAATCGATAAAAGGAGCGCATTTAAATATCGATTTTGATATTGGTTTAAAAAACAGAGAGAGATCGACCGGCGTTCTCTTTGTATCGCGAATCGATACAAAGTAGTGTAACGAAAAATCAAAAATAGAAAGAAAAAAAAAAATGAAAAAATACTTGGAAATCAGGAGCAACGAATGACACTTATTGCGGCTGATGCTGCACATTGTTTAGTTATTATAATTCTTTTTTCTTTTTTTTTTTTTCCTTTTTTTTACTATTCATCAAGCTATCCGATTCGCACGCCTCACCGGCCCTTCTCGCCTTAATCGAGCCATACATAGAAAGTTATATACAACGATATAACACGAACTGCAGTGGCAGTGAATAGTGCATATGGATATATTGCAAACAGTAGCAATGGCGGTGGCGGCGGCGACTCGTAATCGCGATACACGGCAGCGTCTACCACAGCTACTTTTTTTGTATTCTCTTTTCTCCCCGTTAATATCGATCCGCTGCGTTCCATTTGCACATTTTTTTTTTTTTTTTTTTTTCCCTTTTATTATCCCGTAAGTTAGTCTGAATTTCAACGATCGAGCACAAAAACCGATGCTTTTTTTTTTCAACGTATATCATATTGGTCGGATCACACGATACTATTTCCATTTCCTTTACACTCCCCGTGTTTACTTTGCTTCCGCACGCGCGAATCGTTTCCCCTGGTTTCCTTTTTTTTTTCTCTCCCCCCGTTCTTCTTCTTTCTTCTCACGCATTTCGTCGATGTAATATCACTTTTTTTTTCCTATCGTGTGTGCATGTGTGTGTGTGTGTGTGTGTGTGCGCGTGTGTGCGTGCGTGTGTGTGTCTATGCGCTGTATAAGAAAGAGAGGATGCGCGCGTGTGCACGCGTGTATGGCCTTGCAATGCATCTGTATCTGTGGATCCATACCGTGTGTGATTGTGTTACCATGTTACATGCACTCGTACGTATTTTTTTTTTTCTCTCTCGTATGTTATATCATTACGTGTGCGTGTTTCAGTCATGTTACAAGTGACAGAAAAAAGGGGGTTGGGGCGGAGCGGGGGAAAGAGCAAGGAAGAAGTATTTGTGTATAGGTGTATCTGTGTATTTCTTATTCTTTTTTTTTTTTTATGTATGTATATATCTTATTTGATCCGTTTGTTTGTTTTTTTTTTTTACATACATACATATATATACATATACATGCATACAGACATATATACATACATACATACGTGTATACGTATATGGATGTATGTACACATATGTACGTTCGTATGTACACACTCGTGAGTTTCATAAAAATATATAAAAGAGAGTGTCTATGTATACATATATATGTGCATATATACTTATAATGTATATTTAGTCGTATCGATACATAGTCGATTAATACTCAATTTGTGTGGAAAAGGTGTTTTTTTTTTTATCGTAATTATTATATATATTCACACATATACATACATACATATATATATATACATACACACGTGCATGCATACACGCGTATACATACATGCATATCTACACACAAACACACACGCGTCACATGCATACATATACGCACGTATAAATAAACGCGTATACACGCGTGCATAGATACGCGCATATGTATACAATTATATACACATATACATGCATAGATGTATTATACATTCATGCATCATGTATACATACATACGTAGATACATACATACGCACGTACGTGCATAAATTCATACATACATACATACATACGTACGTACCTACATACGTACATACATCCATAGATGCATACACGTTTATGTATAGAATCTGTACAAAGTGCTTGATTGAGATTTTTTTATCATTAGCCGCAAAAGAAGACACTCAAGGTAAAGTTTACATATAGTCCTGCACTCCTGTTCGTACCTATCTTTTGTAACGCTGCACATATCATTTGCAAATTGTTTCATCTAAAACTAAGCATACGAGGTGATTGTTGCATGTATAACAGACTATAACCTTTTTCTTGATTGCATAAAAATTGAAATAAAAAATATATCATACATACATAATTGGTAAATAAACGCGTTAAATTAATTATTCGTTTCTTTTAGAAATATCGTGACGTCTATCTATAATATTTACTTATATTTGTTTTGTTAAATGCAAATAGAAAATATAGTGCTTTGTATATTATCGTTAATCCTTTCTCATTATTTGTGTAAAAATGCTGCAATAATGGAATAAGAAGATTAATATTTTACAAGCCCATTTAGAGAAATAACATATGTGTATATACATAACCGTGCTAAATATTTTATTTTTCTGGTATAGATTTATATAATTAAATATGATGTCAACTTTTTATTGCATAATATGTATGTAGTTACAAAAAAAGTTGCAAATCACATTTAAAAATCACGTATTACATTCAATAATATAAATATCTTTATCAGTGGATTTGCACACTGATCACAGAGTGTTATATAAACTATTTATTTCAATATTTCTGTATTTATAAATCAAGAAGAGAACAGAAGAACATAGAGAAGTGTACATAATCATAATAAAATTAGATATACAATGATAAAATTGCAAATATGCTAAATCATATATCATACTTCTTGTAAGCTTTCATTTTCAGGATAAAAGCTGTGGTCTGCTCTAGTTGCACGAATCACCTACGTACATACGCATATACAGATACATGTACATATATGTATACATATTTCCATTTGCTGACAAGGCAAGATACAAAATCACGATACAGGAGACGAACACACGACTGTCTTTGCAAAGTGAACAATGCATTTACAATGAAAGGACCAAAACGGTGGTTCCTGTCAGTGCGATTTATATCTCAATCAATAATCGTATATCCTCCTATTTCTTCCTCTTTCCTCCTCGTTCCGCATTTTCGCTTATAGTTTACTGTCAAATGACAACATATTCACCTGTTCTGTACCTATTTACATATCCTGAATGAGCTACAGCGATGGTATACGTTAAGTCGCGAAGGCGATTACAATTCCTTAGCGATCAGCCTTGAAGATGTTCTCAAGCATTTTTATTAGTTAAGCTGTTTTGCTTCGCATTGTTTTAAGTATTATTTTTTTTTCTTTTTCTGTTTTCTTCCTGTACTTCTGTATATTGCTGAATGCATAAAGGGGCGTGGGATTTGCACAGCCGTTTTACGCTTCAGATATAAGCCCGTTCAGTCCTTATTTGGCCTTTCATCGAAGACGTTATTATTTCCTCGTCTTACGAAGATTTAGAAAGCTTAACGTGTAGCTACCCTCGGACCGTTTTTCATCATACCGCATCCCGGTATCCCTTTTGTCGTTTCTATATTTCTTTCTTTCTCTTGCAGATTATTCCTTCTTTTCTTCTTCTTCTTCCTTCTTTCTTCACATTTGTCACGATGCTTTTTTTTCCTTTTTCTACTTTATTTTTTTTTTTTTTACCTTCTTCTACTCGTTATCACAAACAAGCCTCAACGTAAAAAATGTTCGAACACGATGTGAAAATAAATCACGCAGCGATAAATAGCAAAGAACAGAGAAATCTGTTGGACACACTAGAGGAAAACCGAATCAGTTGTATTGACGAAATTTTCACCGGTGACACACCATGTAACCAGCGGGAAAAACGGACGTGTTGATGATACGTTTCTATGGACGGGGTTTGCGATAATTATTCGTTGAGGGCATCGTACCATAATGCCAGCTAACCTAGACTAGTTGGTAGGGACGACGGGCGGCATGATGGTTTCCTTTGCGTGATTAGATATAGGAATAAGGTCCGTCGGTGAGGGCGCTACACAGCAACAGTCAGGAGGCGTCATCCTTTCCCCGAGCTCCTCTGCTCGGCTTATATTCCAGACCTGGGTCAAATTGCATCAGCACGAAAACCTATAAATTATCAAGAAAAAAAGAAAAAGAAAAAATAAGAAGATTATATACATACATATATATTAGAAGATAAGAATATTATTATCTTATCATATAGAAAATATATTAGATTAAAATTTTTTTTTTTATTATTTGCATGCATAGTTATGATTTGAGAAATATAGTAGAGAATTAACAAGTTACAAACTGATTATAAATTATAAATTATTCTTTTCAAATTATTTTAATATTTGATAAAATTATTTATTGATATATTGATCCAAATATAGTTTTAAATATTTTAGATATATCTACTAGTGATTGAAATTAAATTTCAGAATGATTCATTTTAGTTTTAATTATAGATTCGTGAAGTTTGAATTTTTTTTAAGATTAATTAAAATAATAATTAATCTTTGCATTCTCACAACGATATTTTCATACCTGATCTGTAGGCAATAACGTGAAATCATCTGGAGGATTTGTAATGACGTATCTTTTAGAAGAAGCATCGCACGATGAGCTTGTATCTCGAAACCTAAAATTGTATCAAGAATTAGTCGGAGTACGCTATTTTTTGGCAAATAAGAACTTACTCGTTAAGCTAAGTACATAAATATGTACGATAATAAACTAAAACTAAAACTAAAACTAAAACTAAAACTAAACTAAACGCTGGCAACAGTAAACTAAACACTAAACAAATAAGTGATACAAAGACAATCATAAAAAATGATGAGTATTTGTTGGATGAAGGCAACTTACGATCGTCGCTTCTTTTTTTTTTTTTTTATTTGTCATGACGCAAAAACGCAAAATGCAAAAGTGTGCGGCAAAAAACCAAAAGTCATAGTAAGTACAAGAAATGGCATATAGTAAAAGATAATCAATGGCAATATAATTAATATGGCAGCAAGATGAAAGATTTTTCAGAAGAAAGATATATATATACATATATTTTATATATATATATATATATGCATATATATATATGTGCTATAGAATAAATTCATGTGGTGTAATCCAATAAATACCATCGAGAGAAGGAAAAAAGTCCGGTACCTGTACCTGTACAGACCAATGCACAGCATTCCATATGACTTTAATGCTGCGACAAAGAGGTCACCGTACTTGCCTCCTTCGCCATATTGGGCTAATGGCCCGTCGTATAACGCGATTTGACCAACTCGACATCGATCTCTATTGGCCAAACTATCAGGTGTGCTGTGGACAAAGAAATAAATAATGAGGATCATGACTTTCACACGTAAAAAAATATTAATATTTTTGCCCTTATAGACAAGATGTCTCATCATTTAAGTGATATTATGAATATTGATGTAGATCACAAAGTGTCTACATACGATATTATAGATGAAATATTATGCGTATGTAGCCTGTACGATATTATGAACGAAATATTTCATGTAGCAGTATCGTTAAGCAGTTTTTAAGCAGTAATATTGTATACGATATATGTGTCATGGCTAAAATTATTACATAGCGTAAATAATTGATATATTATGTAATAAAATTTTTATATAAATATTCATTCGATATAAGTCGGATAATTTATATTACTGTAAAATGAATACTTTTAGTAATGAATCGTAAAATTTATGTGACATTGTGATATTTCATTATTCATTGTGTTTTGTTTCACATGAAATAAAAATAACAAAACATTAATTTTTGTAAAAATATAATCTATCGTTTATTTCCTTGATTTTGCAAATAGATGCTTCATATTCATTTTCGAATATGATATATTTTAATAAAAGATATACGAGATATTATGAGACATAGCATCGTATAAAGTATATTATGACGTTAAATATTTTCTTTTTTACTGTCCAATAATAAAGAAAAGCAATATCTAATGAAAATTTATTTGATGAAAATTAATAAAATTTATATGGCTTTAATTAACATTTTATGTAACACAATTACTGCTCTTCTTATTTATATTTGCTAGCTAAAGACATAATAAATATTTTATTAATAAATTTTTCAAGAAAATTACGTTATATTTTAATACTATTTAATATCAAAATAGTTACTGCCTTTTTCCATAATGTAACGTAGAATGAACAACATGATGATGGAAAAATTAATTAAATCTACATTTGAATAAATTTTAACCAACTTACCTATAACCTCCTCGTAAACCTGCTCCTTCAGCAAGAATTAATTCTAACTCAGGCGTTGCTCCACCAGTGATTAGAGATCGAATTAAAGTCAGCGCGTTCTGATTGAAATACGTCTGTCGAAAGAAGGAAAAGAAAAATAAGTATAAAAATTAATACATAAGTATGAGTTGCGAAGTCAAACCTTTTTCCTAAATGTACGATAAATAAATGATAATATGCGATAAATTGCCTATTAAATATCAACATTTTCATGATCAAAGGGCGCAACTAACCGTCGACATTAATGAATCTAATACGCTGACGGCAAAGGCAGTACCGCAAGCAAACGGTTGGGTAAGGTACAGTTCTGTGTCCGGATCATCGTCGTCGTCCTGGTCAAGGAACTGCACATTGCTATCGTTTACGAGTTCTATAATATAAAAAAAGCATTAATATTTTTTTGATAAAATGTCATTCTAATTTTTATACGCATTCTTTGTATAATAAATTAGCCAAATTATTTATTGATCAAAATTTCAAGTACATTACTTATTAAAATATAAAATATTTTTATAAACATTGAAAGATTCATCGACAAATTTTATTCTTCATATTTAATTAAAGTTCTCCGTTTAATTAAGTATCTAATATAAAAAAATTTATATATTAATTAAATGTGTTCAATGAAATATTTTGAAGTGGTAAAACAATATTTTTCATTTAAATTTTTTAAGCAACTCAAAATGAAAATAAATCCATCAAATTTCAGGAATTTTTTGATATAGAATATAATGCTTATGAATAAATATGATAATTCAAAAAAATTAATGATAAATTTGATACGTTATACCTGTTATCATTGGCACGTTTGCTCCATAAACGGATCCTCGTCGCTGCAAAACGATTGGGCTGCCAACTGCGGTCAAATTACCTTGTTCATTATTTGCTGGAATTGTCACTTAACATTTAATTATCTTATACGCGATGGAATAGAGGGAAATATTGAATTCGAGGCTTATTCTAAAATTAACTCTTTAACTGCTGTAGTGAAATTCTTCAATGGAGGATGAAAAACCGAATAAAAAATAAAAATCTCAATAGATATTATATAAACTTGCATCTTTCATCAACACAAATTACTGAGATGCTCAATAATGTTAAGAGCAAAGTTACGAAATTTTGTAACGTTTGTGTTTGAAGAAGACTAACTTCACAATAGTAGTTAAAGATTGAGACGAGTATGAATACGAACCTTGGCTCAGCACACCAATGGTGTCGTCGAAAGTCATAGCTTTGATATTAAGGGACGCGAGGATGGCTTCCTTGTCGGCGAGGGTGGGGTCATCGTTGCTAGGCACTTTAGCCGACAGGATACAACACATGTCGCACAAATTCACGTTAACGGCACGCAGATCTGCTCTGCTTAATGGTGAACCCTACAGATATATAATTATATCACAAATTCATTCTTAAAGTACAGAGAGATTTTCGAATGAAAATAAGAATTACGGTGTACAAAGTAATTCGAACATTTGGACGAAAAATATTATTCCAAATTATTCGTTAATTTAAACAAATGAAATAATTTCACAAGTCACAAATATAAAATTCACTTTCGTTATTAGCTAATGCATAAATACAATTTCATTTTTCATTTTTTCATAATATCTTGAAAGTGAAACAAATCTCAAAAATCAATTAAGTTTTTATATTTTATTAATAAAAATTTGCATAATCATCCTTATAAAAATATAAATCTTACACTCTTATAAATGTTAAACGAGAAATGTGTCTTACGTTTAACACCGATATCTTCGGTAGATTCTGCAACATTTTCCACTCGCGGCGGATGTAATCCACAGACCCAACTATTACTACGTGTTTAAGCTCGTGGTAATGAAAATTGGAAGCTCGTAATGGCATGACAAGGTTTCTCAGTCCGATGAGAGGCGAGTCGGGATCGGCGAATAGGCATACGACAACATGTCCGTTCAGGACCGTCATCGCCGCCTGATTACGATCCAATATGCAGTCTTCGAGGTTACGGGATGGGCTCCAGTGGAACATACCCGTTGAATCGTACTTCATTTCGGTCTTCTCGAAATCGAAATCCTTCGCCTGATCGTCGGCTATTCCGACTTGAAGACCACCGTTGTTGTTCACGTTCGTACCGCCCGAGGCTCTGCTCGTCGGCCTAAAAAAAGATAAATTTCACTTTTTATCGAATGATAAGTAGCAATTGTTTTTATATATACCTTGATAAAGGTGTTATTTGATTGGAACAACAAATGTACTAGTATGTTAGAATATAAGTATGATATCTATTCGATACAATTTTCCATGGCTATTTTATTTTTCAAATAGCTGTAAATATAGCTAAGCTAAATCCTGAAATGCTCAAGCGGATAAACATGAAAATTATAAGTTGAAGAAGCGATATAAATAATGATAATAATGATATTGTTTAATTAATTAACACTAAAAAGTCGTCGGTCAAAGAGATTAGCAAAATTGAGATTTTGTAAAAATATTATAAAATGCGTAGAAATTTTAAATCGGTATAATTTAAGAAACATAATTTAAAGTTTATTATCAAGGAAAAAGTAAAATGAGAAATTGTCAGGAGAGAATGCTGCAGATATACGGAGTAAATTACTTAAAACATTAAACATGAAGGTAACAGATACATTTAGATTTCTTGTTTTTTATGTAATAAAAGAGAAAATTAAAACTATAAGAAAATTATAGCAGATTTTACGTAGAAATAATAATTTAAAGCTCTCTTAAATGGAACGAGAGCGAACTTATTGCTAAACCTAGTAATATTGAATATTGAAAGTGATCTGTGTTTAGTCTGAAAGCATACATTCAGGCGCAAGCGTTTAACACAGAAAATCCTATCTGGATACATATGTAATGCGTTTAGCAACATAGAAGCATTATAGTAAACGCATATATCTCCAATAATTCTCAAGTGAATCTCTTGAAATACGTGTTCTTTGAAACACTTACGTTCTACGTTCGAAATTGATTTTTGTTGTGAATGTATAAAATTATAAAATATAGTTAGCTTACTATACTACTAGAATTTTTTATTTTTTTTTTTCTTTTAATGAAAGAATAATGTTCGTGCATATTTTTTAATTTAATGATATCATTTTAATATTTTTCAAATTTTTCTTATTATTTTCGTGGCTTTGAAAAATTTAAAAGTTACTGACCATATATTACATCTAATAAGAAATGTTATTTTGTTTGATTTCATTTTATAAATGGATTAACTTATTAACTATATTTTATCAATATTATTGTATCATGTATGATTTGTTTTTTGTATTGTATAGTGTCGTAGCAGATTCGTATCGTGGTAAAAAGATAAATCGAAAATAATATATTTCTATAGATAAAACTTTTCAATGATATTAACATTAATTATTAATTTGATAAATAAAAATAACAATGAAATCACGTTGAAAGGAAAAGATTAATATAATTGTTGTTATAAAATAATCGATTTTCTACATTATATTTCACATATGTACATATGAATGATGATAAATGCTTTAATTACACAAGCAATCAATGAAACATTCGCATGCAATTCGCAAGCAGATTTCTATATCGCATAACGAAATTAGTGTAGAAAAGAGAACATAACGGCTTAACGTTGACAATTAACGTAAAAATAAGAAGCGTACATGAGCTTTTTGACTTCGTAGGCGAGATGGTAGCCAGGGTATGCGGACTCCTCTTGCGATCTGGAATCAGAAGGTATTCGTAACGATGGACTCGTCGATTCGTAGATACTATTTTCTTCATTCGCCATCGAGTAACATTATCGAATCGTAATATCAGGAATAGAATGAAAAATCGAATTTATGAGCAATATGGCAATAATGATTCTCGTAGTTTAGTGATCAAAGTACAAAATTTTAAATGTTTTCAACGATTAAAATATAATTTATGATCAATGATTTTGATTTTTGAGATATTGAAAAGAAATGAAATAGGGAAAAATTACATTGTACAGTTTCCTGCAGAAAGGCTGTATGTATATTTCTTGTCAAAAAATCTGCAAAAAGTAATTTGTAATTTATACTAGCTTATTCAGAATTTATTCAGAATGTTTCAGATTAAAACTGACAAATTGTATTGATATATTTGACAAGTTATTTTGAAATAAATGTTATGTACATTTTGAATCAATTTATTTTTGATCTAGAGATATAAAGAATGAAGTAATATAAATTACAAATAATCAGATCTATTCAAATTACTTAATTTTTAATCATAATTAAATTTGTATATATTTGAAATTATATATTTTACATTGATTTACATTAATATACACTGATTTTAAAAAAATAAATAATAAATCTTAAATGTAATTGTCTAATTATTTGTCATTTAATCTTCTATATCTCGAGAACGAAGATAAATTAAACCATGATTTGTTTTAACCTACTTTTCGTTTAAAATGACTCTTCAATTATATTAGCAACGTTTTAGAATACCCTGAAATAAAGATAATAATCTCTAATCAAAAATATTTTTAGAAAAATAGTTTATTAAAACAAATTCCATCCAAGAATAAAATATTATTATTATTCTAATTTCATTTTAAACAATGACTAATAAATTTGATAACAAGCGGATTTTATCGCACAGGAATTTCTCGCGACTCAGCGGTATACAATAATTATAAAAGCACAGATGAGCGGTTTATCCGTGCGGGTGAAAGCTGACCTTTAGATATTGTGGGGAAAGGGAAATAGGAGAAAAATATAATAATTTTATACTTCATGGACCGCCATGAAATTTATTAACATGCGACACACACATATATATATGTATATATATGTATAGGTATTAAATTAGGGAGGAAAATAAATTATTGAAATAAAAAAATTATGCTTGTCTTCATAATTTTGTATTAATTGTTATTAATCAGTTTCAATAGTTATTTTAACTCAAGAAATGTTATATTTTTAAATAAATTCATTATATGAGATTTTAAAATAAATGTATTTTAAAAATCGAAAATTATATTTAGATACTGAAAGAAAGAGAATGATGATGAATTATAATGTACACTTTAATATTTCGTTTAAATTGCGGATTTTTATCTAATAATATATATATATATATATATATATTTTTCATATTATATGACAAATATAGAATATAGAATTCTAGCACTATCCAAAGATTTAAAGGATAATTTTTTCGAATTAAGATTAAACGAAAATTAAAAATGAACAAAAATAATCACGCAAAAAAATGAAAATAAACGTTTTCTTTACCAAACGAGTATAAAATAATTTAAAAAGTGGAAAACAGAATGATTCTCAAATGTAAGTTTACTTTGTATAAATCACAAAGAAATAACTATATTTTATTTCATATTGTTTAATTACTTTTCGATCAAGCTGATTAAACATTGATCAAATAAAAATCGAACTTAACATCAACTTGCAAAAATTTAAGATAATAATTTTTTTAAATTAATTTAATACGTCATCATCTTAAATCCTATTAAAATTAGTAAAAATTTAAATCGCTATAACTCCGTAGAGAGTGATTTTTAATCGACGAGTGAGAGATCGTTAGAAGCGTGGAACCTTGTCCTTTGAAACGCTTTTTCATTTATCCCGATACAACTTCCGGTTCCCGAGATATCGTCGTGCAAAGAAAAGAATAATTTTTAATCGTTTATTATCTCCGTCTTTGTCTCTCGATCGGACCTCGTCTCTGACCTATTCCAAACTTCAGACACGTGACAGACATGATTCCTGGAAAAACGTGTGCATCTCCAGGAATAAAAGTGGGTCACGAGGCTCGCGGGCTTATTCATAATCTCCGCACTGTCTTAAGCATTATGGACGCTTTGAGTCTTCATATCTTGGTAACCAATTGAGATATCAGGATAAAACAAAGAGTGGCTTTAATGGCATGGTTTTCTCCATTTCTATATTAACTTAAAAATTTTTACTTTCTTCTCGCGATTTTTGCATATACTGCGATGTCTTAATGCAGAATATACGAAGAATTTAATTTTTATTTATATTTATATAGTACGAACAATGATAAATATTTAAAGTGAAGAGTTTTATGCAAATATTGATGTTGTCGTAATATTGAAAAATATTCAGGTAAGCTGCTGTTTACTGTGCTAATTTAAGAATCACTGTGTTTTCCGCTATTTATAAAATGTCATACATTTGATAATGTAGTTTATTTTTTAATATTTAATTATCAATAATTAAAAAGAAACGTAATTTCCTTATTTTTGATTTTCGTTTCATTTTGATTTGATCTGTTAAAAGTTTGGATATATGCATACTATGTATAATAAATTTTGTAAAAAAAAAAATATTCCAAATACATTTTAAAATCTAAATCTATTTATAAATAATAAACTGGAAAATAAATCGGGTATGATTTTGTAAAATTTATAAATTGATATTTTTTTATATACAAGTCATAAAATCGACATGATATACAATTGATATTATTTATGAACGAATTCTTAAAAGTTAGAAAACTATAGGATGAATAAATTTGAATATGCTATTTCGATAAAAATAATCACCGTAAATTAAATAACATATAATTGATTGGAATGTAAACGATTGAATTTATGAGAATGATTCTGGATCGCATGGAAGTTCTCTACCGAGAATATTAATAATAAGTTGAAAGTTTATATAATAACAATGTTTATCATCATTTACGTTATGATAAACTTTTAAAACATGCTGATTAAATTAAAATAGATGCAGATACTGTTTAAAGAATATTGTGTTATTGACATCATAGTGCACTCTGTATAAATGAGAGATCATTTCATACAAGTTTTTAGATTAAGAAGGTGTTTTTGTATTTTGTGAGAATATAAATCGTAATATGAAGATAATTGCTTTAATGTTTTATCGGGTTATTCAAATTACGATTTAGAATAATTTCATTAAAGTGATGCATCATTGGAGATACACATCCTCTTACAAATCTTAGGACATTAATAAAGTTTCCTTAATAAAATTTCAATGGTTTTTTTTTTTGTACATAATAATATAATTTAATAAGTGATGATAATTTTTCTTTTTTCATCTATATCTGAATAAATTAATATATACAATCCAAATTATTGTATTTGGTTTTATTTATAATCTGAGAAATCTTACATAAATATAGTACATAAAAATTGCTTTAAAAAAAAAAATTAAAAAATTTTGATATCAATGTTATTATATCACCAATATTTTTTCTTGTCCATTGTTGATTTTTTTTTTCACATAATATAACTTTTTCTTAATAAAAATGATCGAATCACATTAAAAATGTTCACTGTTCCAAGATTTTTGAGCGGATATATGTACAATATAAGATATATGTTTACATATCAAAACTTAATCAATGCAGTCTGAATAACCCGTTCCACATCACAGTTCACAAAAATGTTGTGTACAGAAAAGCTCGAGTCGTTCTAGTCGTGCATATATAGGAGAGAAACAGTATCAACTTTAACTTCGTACAAGAACAGTGAAAGTGCGTATTACAGACAGAAAAATCGAAAAATTCACCACGAGCTACTATACATTTGTGTACATATTGTGTATAAATCGAATTACACTGTATATAATTATGTTCATATTAATCACATTTAATTGAACTTTGAGTGCACGAAAAGTGTTTTTTCATAAGACATATGAAATACGATCAAATTTTGCAATTTTTTTTTTCAATGAAAAAAACGTGTATCTAATTCTCAGTAGTGAAATTCACACACGGTTGTTAATTCTGAATGATATATTTGAGCCATGCATAGAAATCAAATTGATTAACTCTCAAATTTCACACAATCGAATATCTTATCTTTCTTCTTATCTAAAATTGTCATTGTAATTTGATATATCTATTATTGATTTACATTCCAAATTTTATTAACAGAAAATATTAATAAAAAATTTAATAATATATATGCGCGTGTGTATATGTATGGGAATATTGGACAATAGAAATTTTTGAATATTGAAAAGTATTGAATAAAATTGTTAACTGCTCATTTTGGCACAATTTAAAATATAAAAAAATATTAAATCTTCGTGTTAATTAATTAAAGTCAAGAATAATATGGTTGATCAATTCGTCTTCTGAATGACTCATTTGTCGTAGAAGTGATCGAAAGTGTGAACAATGAATAGTGAATGCAAGGACGAAGCACGCCCGTATGTATGGTGAAGAGAAAATAATGAATGTTTAAAGTAAAACGAATACCTCTGATTGTACGGTTGATTTGGACTGGATAAACTGTCATTTGTCGCTCGATTCACATTCGGTTTCACCTTATTCACTTGTTTCGTTGAATTCATCATGGTCATCCCGACGGAATTCCGGTGATTTCTCATCGCTATAACGTAACACGATGAATTTGTACACATTTCTTTTAATTTCCTATTAACATTATATTTCTGATAAGAGTATAAAAATTATTGAGAAAATTTAAACTGATTTAAAGAATAATTTAAAAATTGTGTTTAATTATTTGAAAATTTGTGTAATTCTCCATTCTTTTTTATCATGTTTCAAATGTTGCAAAGGAGAGTTAAATTCTATTTTATTAAAATCAAAAATTCAGCAAAAATCAATATTAAGTAAAATTAATTACTCGTTCAATTTTCATCTCGCTTAAGGGTGAGATGTAAAGGTACGTTTTGAAAATAACGTTTTATAATGTGATAAAATTGAGAGAAATTTAGAGAGAATTGTGCTTTTCACAATTTATTAAAAGAAATAAGAAATGTTTCAATAAATATTTGATCAATTTGAAACTTACCGTTTGGATCTTCTCGGTCACGACTGATCTCACCTAAAATCGATAAATTAGAATTAACTTCTACGTAGAGGTTATTTTTTTTTTTTTCAACGTAGCTAATAGACAAAGCAACAATGATTAAGAAAATTACTCAGTGCCACGCTGACCTAAATCCCTTCGTTATAACGTATTTTACGTTTAATCGACAAAGAGAGTCTACAGCCTCATGCTTACAGGCACGCATACTTTATCCTAAATCTTTTGCACGTGCCATCTTTTATTTGGAAAATTTTAAATAACTAGAATTGCGATGAACCGATGAACTTGTGGTTTTCAAGAATACGTCGAAGAATACGAATTCTTATGAATAGTGGCAAACGTAAATGAATTTATATTTCAATATTTTTCGAAAATCCAATTATAATCTTTAGATTACCTTTTAAATTCTCAAAATTACAAAAAATGATTAAAAACAACTTCTTATATAATTTATCATTATAAATTTTAGCGATTTCTTTCGTACAAAGTTTCTGAAAAATATATTTTCTATTATACAAAAAATATATTTAATATCACATTCTCAAATTCTTATGTCTGTATATATCTTATAAAATTAGACGATTCGAAACAATAATAAAAATATAAAAATTGATGAAACAATTGGATCATGATTTCTTAATAACGCATTAAACGTGAAAACGAGAAGTGATGCATTAAACTATATTTTTTAATAATATACAGGATGTTCCATTTTAATTTTCTAGAATAAATATTTCGAATAATAAAAATATGGAGGACACGAAAAGCTATTAAAATAAAAAATTATACAGATCATGCTGTCATTTATTAAGACGCTCGTGGCGTCCTTGAACGAACTTGTCAATGTCAAATTTAAGATAAAAATAAAAATCTAAATATTTTTTTACTACATACTATCATAGTTCATATTATTGCAGCTACATCGAAACATTTTCAAAACGCTACTTAAATAGGCCTTTGGTACAAGCTATTCCTGAGATATAAGCTTCCACAACTTGGCGTGTTGACTTTAGGAGATTGAAGTGGAGATTAAAATGGAACGTCCTGTATACAGTGTCCGCGTCAAAAAGTATGCGAGAAAAATTTTTTTATAAGGGAAAATTTGACGTATCAATGGAAACCCAAGCAACGTTCATTGTACGTTTCAAGCAATTCTTAGCCATTACGGCACGTGCTGTTTGCAAAAGACAAGAAAAAAATAATAATAATAATAATAATAATTAGGCATCTGTCGCGATAACTGAATGAAGCACCATCATATAATTATGTAAATAAATAGATCAAATGAGATACAAAACGTGAAAAATGTGCTTTGTCTAAATGTCACCATAAAAAATAACAATAATAATAATAATAATAATAATAATAATAACGAATAATGTATCCGACAATCTACCGTGCTTTCTACAGCTATTTATTCATTTGTTTACACTCGATATTAAAATTAACACAAATAAAACGCATATATATATATATATATTGTGTAAATAACAATAATAATATATATATATATATATATACTTAGGGCATATGCGAATTATACACATATCAAAAGAAGAAATATTGAAAAAAATATTTCTAAGCATCCTAAACCAAGTATAATATTTATCTACTTTAGAACACAGAAAAATTCATGGAAAAAATTTGAATATCACTCAAAAATATTTGAATTCAAACAGCATTTCTCAAACTATCCGCGAAATTTACTCTCATCTCTGTATTCGAATTAAAATAATTTATCGAATATTTTTATCGCGAATTTAGTGAAAAATTTTTGTCATTTACAAAAATCATCGTACATGTCTTATGCAGATTCAATTAAGAAATTGTTGTATCAAATCTAACAAAAATTCTGTTTTAAATGAAATTTTCTTAATGTATGCATAATGAATTATTGCTTATAATATGTTTAGTAACCGATGTATTGTACAATCAGATAAAAAACAATGGAAAAAAGAAATTGTTTTATTTAAGAATTTATTTTTGTGGAAATTGAAAATTCAAATAATAAGGAAACATAATTAATTCTCAATAAAAATTGATTATTGGTAAAAGATCATTCTATATATGAAAAATGTAGAGCAAAATTTTTCAATTTGAAAATTACTTTTTGAGAAAATAAAATTTCGAATTTATTTTTTGAAAATGAAAATTTGAACAAGCAGAAGAATCTTTTACATTTTTTATATGTAAAATATTCAATTAATAGTCTGCTGATGATATACAATCACATTCTCCTATATTTTACAGTTTTTCAAAATTGATTTTTTCGAAAAAAAATATCTTTCTTTCTTTTCATATTACACACTATACTAAAATGTATATGATGCAATATTTTTTTCACATTACGATCAATCAATCTTTAAAATTTTAATCCTTTCTTCGTTTTTCTTAAAGCATAATTTTATAATAATGCAAAATTTTAAAATAAAATTTTTAGTACAAAATATATTCTGAATTTACTAAAGTTTCATGCAAAAAATATTCACAGACGAAAAAGAAATTTTGTTGAAAACTTAAAAGGAATGTTAAAAAAGTTTTATCTCCTCAAAAAAATTTTTTAAGGGAAAAGAAAAAAATGTTTGATCCATTATGCTCCACACATATACGTACAAATTTTCATTATCAGAATTTTCTTTCGTCTGAAAGATAATGCACGAAGACTTTTGTTTCTTATTCGATTATAGGAAAAAAGGCAGAATGAGAAACGCTGATCTCTTTATGAATTCCTGCTCCACTACTTACGCAGACGAACACCAGCAAATGTATTGCATATATCTCAATTACATGGAAAGGTATGTTTGTCGCGGATAAGGTTATCAAGCGTTCGAATTGATTTTCTCTTTCCTTCACTATTGCATTTATTACACGTTACATTTTTTTTTATTTCAAATTGAATTCTTAAAAAATAATCGTTATTCAAAATTAATCAAGTACTTTGCACTCAAGTTACGTAAACTGAATTTGTCCAACAATTGTTTTCTCTAATTATAAAAATTATCGATAAATTAATCATTGTGTTTTGTCTATAAACAAATATATTGCTTTCGAAACTAATAACGAAACGAATGAATCACGGAACAAAAAACGTTGATAATTGATGCTATACAGTCTAATAACTATAAAACTCTATGATAATCGTATGTAATTCTAACGAATATTGCAATGGTTTTAATCTTGTGGAAGACACAAAACAAAGGAGAAAAGAAAAAGAACAAAAAGGGGAAAAAAAGAAAAAAGTGAAACAAAGGAAAGAAATGACGTGTCGTTTTATAAAGAAGATAGTGATATGATAGCCATGGTGAGAACTAAAGTTAAACTACAAAAAATTTTAATTCGCTACGTCTGTGTGAAAATAATAATATAATTGTTAACATAAGATGCAAACTATAATGTATCTACTGTAGCTGCATGCACTCATCGGAGAAAGTAGTAAACAACGAGATTGCAATCGAAATTTTAATTGCAGAAGAATAATATTCTTAAACAATTTATACAAGTATCTTTCTACTTTCTCCAAAATCGTAGTGAAAATAGCGCGTTTTTCCATATTACGTATGTATAGAGACATATGTATTCAGAAACAGTGCTGGAATTTTTATTTTACGTAACAGATTAGTTTGGATTACGTATTATCAAGTTTTATGAATTATTTGTTTATAGAAATTTTCGTTTCTTAAATTTGAATCAATCATTTTAATCAATAATATAATTTTTGTATATTTTTTTCTTTTAAATGAAAAAAATTAAGTTTGCTAATTTTATAAAGAAAAATAAATAATAATTATACTCATCGAGAAGTAGAAATAATTTATTATCATTGATCTTTGGAAAATTATCAAACGAGATTATTTAATGTTAGATGATATAGTTATATCCTATTGAATTCATAACGTCACATGTGTAATATTGAAAAATAAATTTCAACAAATTTTTAAAAAGCATAAAGATGTGTTTAGAAATTATTTCTTATATTTATTCATATATCTACTAACATTAAAAAAAAATTGCAAAATATGATATTCTCGAAATTATCATTTAACATCATTTTCACAGCAATTTCGTAATACACTTTCAAACAATCGAATTAAAAACAATTTAAATCCAGCACTGTTATGAAAAGTCGGTCGAAAAATCGTGTTGGGTTCCTAGAAAATGTCCTAGAAATGTCGCAATTGGTCGTTGAAGCGTATATTCGTCATGATGCATAAAAAAAAAGAAAAAAGAAACAAAAAAAAAAAAGAAAAAAACCCAAAAGGAAATCGAAAAATATCAGAAACTGAGTGCAGACAGTTGTTAAAGGTTAAATCGAGAGCGAAGCACTTTTTTTCGTGAAGCAGCACTTCGAGTTCCTTCGTCCAAGAGACTGAAAGCGATTGATTACAGTGTATACCCGTATATACCGTGTGTTTCATAAAAATTAGGAAGGGCAGCTTGCAAAATTATAGCACGGGTTTGATTGAGGTGTAACTGTACCTCTTACGTGAACCATCTTGGGCAGTTCTGGCGGAGTGAATGTGGGGGGAGGATGGTGGTCGTCTGTAACAAACCACTACACATGTTAGCTACCCTAACTAATTACCTAAGGCCTAGTTTCTACGCTATTGCTACCACTGCCATTCCTATACTTGCATTTTAATCAATTAAAGCTTCGTTCCAGTCTTAAATCGATAGAAAATATGTTATTATTGAAAGTATATTTTTCGTAAATCGTCACTGTGCTGCCATCTACTTCGATTGAAGAGTACTATTATATAGTAGAAGTAGCATTAATTTTCGAAATATGGCAAATCAGAAATCATAAAGATTGATACATCAAAAATTATTTAATTTTCATTATTGTAGTTAATTGCAAGGATTATATTATATTACATTACATTATCATTATAATACAATATAATTCAATAATTAATCACAGATATTAAATTGTTTAGATTTATAAAGGCTAACTATTTGATATTTGAAAAAGTTAGAGAGTAATAATAATTTGGCACGAAATTTAAAATTAAAAGCAATATTGATTGATTTTCATGCGATATGATTATTCTACATCTATGTAGAATTAATCATAAAAATCGAAAAATGAATCTCAAAAGATTTTATTATATCAACGTTTAATATTTCTAATATTCATTATTCATGTAAAGATTGGATAGCACAAATTTTTGAAACAGATACATTTTTGTTTGCAATTAATTGCATGAAATAATAAACAATAATAAACAAGTCGTGAGAACAAATGATCCTCGTGTTAGAAAGACAATAACAATGAAATTCTTTTTATCGACTGAAACGAATCTTGTTCTAATCTAAATAATATATTATCAATATTCTATAAATCAAATTATTACTCTGAAAGAACTACCGTTTTCAATGCTGCTCGTGGCAACGCGGACGAGTCCAGAAGTAATCGAGGCACGATATCGTACAAAATATCAAAAGGAGAAAAAGTTAAGAAAAAAAAAAAAAAAAAAAAAAAAAGAAAAATAACAATCTGTACAT